TGCACATCCAGAATTGTTAAGGAAGAAAAAATATGTAGTGGTTACTGTGTCATAAGAATGAGACAAAAACAGTGTAAAATTTGCTGAGTAAGAAAGAGAAAGGAGGCCTTGGTGAATATAGGGAAGAGAACTCAAGTGTGTGTATATGTGTGTGCGCACGTATGTGCGCATACATGCGCACACACATGTGCATGTGTGTATGTATGTGCATGTGTAAGATTTGCAGCTGAACATCTGTTAAGAATACCTAGCAAAACTTATGCAAGGTCAAATAAAAAGTACCCAGATTTTGATAGATGGGTTATAATTCCATCTCTGAGTATTACAACAAAAGGGAACCATCATTCAGGATCTAAACCTAGATCAAGTATTAATTCTGGAGAACACAATGCAAAACACCTTTGTTAGTACTTAAAGCATCATTTTGATCATTAATCACTGACCAAATATTCCCCTTCAAATATCAGCAAACTGATCTAGTAAAAAAAATTATTACATGTCTTTTAAAAGTCCCCTCTTGCTGGGATTCATACATTTGAACAACAGATCCTTTTTCTTTTTTGAAAAAAGCTACATCTTTCCTGTCCAATGCTTGTGTGCTTGGATGAGGGGTTTTTCTCTGTTTTTTAAAGATATGATGAATCACTTTTTCTGACCAAAGTGAGCCCCTTAGACACATTACCCATTTCAGGAAGTGAAAACTCATTCCAGTTGTCTTAATATGACTCATAAGTCAAGATCATCTGCAATTGAATATCTCTTTTTCTTCTCTCAATGTGTTATTTATTTGATCAGGTTGTAAATCGCCCCAGCATAGCCTAGTTGCAGGGCTACATAATTCAACATATACCTCTAGCTTTGAGAGGTAGGGCACTGCTGAATCTTTTCACTCTGGCTGCCTCCTAATCTCAATACTGTTTCTGTTTATTAACCCCCTTGCTCAGAGCTATATCTTCTGATAGTTTAACATGGTCTTATTAGGAAAGTACTTACTGTAACTATCACAGAAAAATCAAAGTCACTGCTACTTCAACACCTCTGGTGATGCTTTGGATTAGAGAGCTGATAGCTGGTTTTGAAATTTTGTCCTAGTGCAAAACCATCTAAAGTTCTTTTTAAAATCAGATGACAAAGGGATACTGTTTTTATATCACAAGTGTATGGAGGATTTCACTGTTGGATAAACAGAGGTGATTGGGAAGAGAGACACACTCTTATGGATGAAAAGCCATTGAGTCCTATATAAACAAGAACGGCAATTGTGAGATACTTCTGTTGATCCTACATACTTAAGAATTTCTGTTTATTTTTCTTCATGCAGGAAAATGGACAAAGAAAGTATGGTGCTATTGATATTATTGCTTTTGTAAGAGATTTCAGAATTGCAAAAAGGACTAGTTAAGCTGCTAGAATATATTTGTCTTCCTGGTGAATGTCTCACAAGCTAAGATGCTCAATTTAGCACAATGGATGAAATAAGAAAATTAGGCAGAAGTGTTGCATGGAAAGATGTAATAAACTCACATTTGAAATAGGTATCTAGCAGGAAAGGAAAGTGAAGTAAAGATGAAAAGAGAAATCAGGAAAGAAATACCTAGATTCATTTTAAAGACTGTAAAAGAGTTTGATATAAAAATCATGTATAGACAAACAGGCGCATGTACTCACAGCCCCTAAAGAAATCTTAAGGTGGTCTGTTCCATTGCTTGCTGAATACAGGATAAGAATTTTATATTTTATTGATTTGTGCAGCCTGTGCCAAGGAGACAGAGAAATATGAAAAATAACCAAGACAATACTGAAATATATAACTCTGGACAAGATCTGTTCCCTCTGTTGTGTATCTAAGTGGGTATAGATACTTAAATGGATCCTATTTTATCCTGTTCAAGTCCCTGAAAGTCCATTAAGGCATCTTCTTTGTGAACTCACCACAATTTGACCTTTAAGAGTTAATCCCCAAAAAAGCAGCAAGGAGAAGGAGGAGGACCAACCACGTTCTGCATCATCTGTTTTTCCAGAATGTGAACAGGGTGGAATAGAATTGCAGTTAGGCCTGACGCTCACTTATGCATGTACTGATGGAAGAGAATCTGGTCCTTTGTCCGTAACTAAATAAAGCTAAAGTGGGAAAATGTACAAGTAAATATATTTAAAATAAAAAAGCAAGACCTACATCTAACTCAGTGCATCTCCACTATTACTAAAGTTATGAATATTTACACATGGTGAAAATTTGGCCCAAAACATTCTAAAACTCATTTCTTCCTCCACTTCTTTGTCAAGGGTCAAATTAAGGGGTATTAATTCCCCTGCCCTCCAAGAGGCAGAACAGACTGGTTGGGCCAGACAACAGTCCTTTTAAGGACTTGGTTGAGGCCATTAGATGGTTCAAAGAGAAACCACCTATATCCAGGTCCTCACAGCCAGAAGTCTGTAGTTAATCTTTTATTAAAAAGGAAACTATTTTTAAAAGTGCTCTTAAAATATATATATGAAAACTGACTGACAATTTTCTTAAGTTTTACAATCTTTTATATAAGCCACAAACACAAGTAGTGCAGCTGCACTGGATGCCTTCACTTCTCTAGCATTTGATGGCCCTTTAGCTTCTTGCCTAACAACTCACCCTAGCTCCATGCAAGAGGTTTTTCCCCAGGTATTTGATGAAATAAGTTTTATTTATGAATAAGAAAGTCTTATTTTCTGCATGAAGTTAGTGCATTTGTGCCACAAGCACATATCCATCAGCTTTACACACACACACACACACACACACACACACACATGCGCACGCACACACACGCACACACTGGACTTGTGCATTCATTTGGAAATAAGTTGTCAGCAGCAGGCAGAGAATAGGAGCTTGCAAAAAGCAAATATTAAAAAGTCCAGATTTGAAAAATTACTTCTCATTTTAGATGCTTGTTTCTAGTGTCTCCCTTCACATACCTATGGTCCCATTTTCAAAGATGCCAAACATCCACAACTCCATTTATAGTCACTGAGTACTGCAGGCAAAGGTGTGCCAGGGCAGCGCCGAGCCCTGAGCAGTGCTGGCTGCAGCAGTGCCAATGGCAGTGGCATGCCCAGCCACTGCTACAGTGGCAGCTATTTTTGTGACCCCTTGTTTTCCCCCTAAAGACAGCGCTGTCCCAGTCACTCCCCTCCCCACCTCAGTCATGCTACTAACAACAGTCTTATAGGTCTTCTGAAAAATCATCATGCCATGACAAAGTTGAGTACAACTACTTCTGCGAAAACGTTTTTCCACCCAATAGAAAATATAAATGAAAATAAAATGGCTTTCTTTCAAATTTTCAGCAGAAAAAATTATTTTTTTCATTAAAGAAATTAAAACAGATGGGGGGGGTCTTCATTTTTTCTGATGAAGAGATAACATAAGATCTGAGGAGTCTGACACTTCCTATAAAAAGAAGCACATAGGGAATCATTTTGTTGAAAATCCAATTTTCTATTAAAAAAAAACTGCAAAGGGAAAAAAGTGGCCAATACTACTGAGTGCCACAAACTTGAAGCACATAGAAGCAGTGGAAATGGCTTTGGCCAAAACATCTTATAAACACCCAGGAGTGATGAGTCCATAACCTAAAAGGTGTGTCAGTGTTTCAGCCCTGTCCATGGAGCAAGTTGATTGTGTTGTGCACAGATATCAAGGCACCTGGGGATCAGTGTCTGGATATAATTGTCCTAAGTAACAAGCTCTAAAGTGGAATCTAGTACTGTGGTAAGAAGGATAGATATCAGGCTGGTTTCAAAATGCTGCTGAAAGGAAGCAAAGCCATCAACCCCAAATCTATCATGAGGGAAAAATGGGCAGAGGCAAAAGGAAAACAGCAGTACCTGTCAGGAAAGAAATGGCCCACAGCAAAAGCAATTACTTGGTGTGAATGTGGCAAGAGACTTGAAAGTAATCTCCTAAATACCCAATAAATCTGGTTTATAGCTTCCTCTATCCCTCCGTAAGGAAGGAATCTAGCTATTTTAAATCTGGACTGTACCATATGTTATGAAACTCTTCCTTGTGCAAAAAAGGACAGGGAAAAATGTTAAGAATTTTAAATGCTCTTATAGCTATTTACTTCCTGCCACATCGCTTTCACTAAACTGACCCAACATATGCACATTCTCTCACAAACTCGTATACACTTGCTTTCAAACTTGTCTGCTTTAGATACCACTTCTTTTTATGAGACCATACAAATCATCAAACACATGAACCATACCTAGGTGACCAATCACTGGTGCCAAATCAGAAATGGCAAAAACTGATTGCTGAAGAAGCACCTGCTCAAAACAGTTATTAAACATCCCGTAGGTTCCCCATTTGTTCAACAAATAACTTAAGTGAATAATGAAGAAGGATGAACAGGTCTGTAAAAGTCAGAATCTATTTATGCAGAAGTTATTTTAACAAAACAGCCAAAATGCAATGAATAGACTATTTAGAACAAATTGTTTCACAAGCTTAATTGTAACGATAAAGTATCTCTATTCAGGTCCCCCTAAAAGGGATTATGCCCAGATGCATTGAATACAAATTCTAAGAGAAACACAGCAGCAACATATGACTGAAATGTATCTGTAGAGCCTTGGCAGTTGACCTTCTTGGCTGAGAATAATGAGCATTTTGGAGAACCAGTATATGGCTGATCATATTTTTATACCCACAAAAATGTGCTCCAACTCTTTAAGAGTGCCAAAAGTAAATATCAGCCACACAAGGCTTGTCCATTAACATGCTTCCACTGAGCATGAAAAAACAGAACAGGTAGCTGAGGAGTGAAAAAAAATCATGATAACTCTTAACTTTAAATTTCTTTAGAGATTTTTTTTTTTTTACTGATACTGAGGGGACAAAAAAATCACATAGAAATAACAAAAGTTTCTAAGCCTAGCATTTAGTTTTCTACTGTTTTTTCTTTACAATTAAGTTCTT